GTTGCCATTTGGCATCCTCTTCCGTGCAGCCCACATCATCAACTGGCATCAACCGATAAAGAGCCAAAAAAAGCATTAAAACATATCAAAACAATCCATCATGCTGAAGAAGTGCAAGTCGCACAAATTGTACCACCAGATTGCAATCTGCGACGGACGTTGATGGCCTAGAACCAGAACGTCGTCATCAATCCCTCGTTGATTCTTCCGCCAGCCAGGGTCAGTACCTTGGTATCAAAGGTCAGCTCTGAAAAATGTGTCCCGAAGTATTGCAAAGCCACGGTTTGGAGAAGGATAGAATAGATATTAGAATAGGATAGAGAATATCTATGAATATCTATGAATATCTCAGATTAAGAATCAGTGGAAAGCAAATAGGTCAGTCGTTGGACTCCAAAAGATATTTGCACAAGTATCCTGGAGACCCCTTTGTTTGGATCAAAAACGGGTTGCCAAGGACACTTAAGTTGGAATTGAGCTCAAAGTGATTCAAAGTGAACAATTGCCATTCTCCATACTGTGGGACCGGACTGTAGCAGTAGCGTACCAAAGTTGCAGCCTTTGGGTTTTCTCACCATCTTTTCTGTTTCCAGCCGATCTTGTCAATGCGTCACGACCAGTGTAAACACAACAGAGACAGAAACAAAATATCTGGCCTCCTCATATTTTTCGATGGCATCCATCCACGAGCCCTGCCTGAGAAGCCACTTTCGTCTTGCCATGTTGATGGACATGCAAACCATGAATGTCTGACGTAGAAGGCCCAACCAAATGACATCAAATGACAATGTCTTTTGAGAACACAGACATCACCATTTGCTTTACTCTTTACATGTATGCAAAAAGACCATGCAAAAAAAAACCCGGTGAAACCACATGTGTCGAAAATGCATCAAAATGCAAGATCACGCGGTCTCTCGATGTCTTTCACTGCTGTCGGGCAACTTGAACAGCACGTTGCCCTCCTCCTTCAACCTGTGCTGTGATGCGCTGTGACGTGCCGTGACGTGGGACAGCTGCAATGACCCCTGGTGACCCCTGGTGACCCCTGGTGGCCCCTGGTGGCCCCGGCTGCGCCTTTCGCAGTGCACGCGCTTCTCGTCGAAGGGCAGCTGCCGCCAAACCTGACTTTGACAGGCGGGCAGGTGTCCCATGGTGTCCCTCTGAATTCCGTGTTGTCTTCGTGCTTTAAAGGGTAATAGATGATTATAGTATGGCTTAAATGCAAACAAATACTTGTGAAAGCACTGGTGAACCTTGAAATCATCCTTTTCGCCGTGGAAGAGGGTGTGCTGAACGAAGAATGGCCAGGTCCTGTGAGCGTGAAAAGTTTGTATTCAAACGTATCAATTGCTTTACCAATGCGTCCAAATTTTGTTCATCGTGCGCTTCCGTGAAATAACCAAGGCACTCGTAGGTCTTCCGCTTCTCGTTCATCTGATGAGATTTGAGCTTGACCTAAGCAGTCACCATACCCATTGATCCCCACAGTACAAGATGATAAAAATCTTGAACCCTGAAGCATCACGAAACGCGAAGCCCGTGAAGCTCAAGATAGCTTCAACATGCTTCACTTCGATTTGACATGTGAGACGTGAGAATGTCTCTGGTTCCTGTCTGAGCATGTTGCTGCCTGCTGCAGAATGTTTCCAATCCTTGGTTCTAGCAAGACTCTATCCCAAACTCTGGTTATGAATACAAAAACTCGTTCATTCTAGCTGCATCTAGCTGCATTTCATCCTGTTTTTCCCATCATTATACTATGTACCAACCTCTACATCGCGAATGAATCACCACCTAAACAGCTACAACCCCTCTGAATCTTCTGGATGCTGTCTACTTTCTGTACTCTCTGGCTGAACCAACAAATTCATCTGAGCAGCTCATTATCTCCACTGAAGAGCGACATGGCTTTGGCACGATTCAGTGGCAGCGAAGCAATGTGGATAGTTCGGCGAAGAAGGGCCGGGTAGGGGAAAACACTTCAACTTCGAAATGAGGAAAATGGGGACCCGTGCAGGCCCTTAATGGGCTCCGGATTTCTTTGTGTTGCCACTGGCGGCTTCTGTTCCTTCCCAACAAATTTGGAACCAAACAGGGTGCAAGTGATATCTGATGATATCAATACGGACTTTGCCCCAAACTGAAAGGGGGTGGGGATTTGGGCTTGAATCCTACTGTTCCATACATATCTATAGAACGTAGAAAGGAACCATTCAGTCGTCACTACATGCATCTACATGCTGCTTTTAAATGACTGTGTGCCGTGGGTGCCACTATTGGCAAAAGAAGATTCCTCACTTTGAAGGAATGCGTTCTGAGCCTCTGCAAAATGGCCAAGCACAGCCTCAGGATGCCTCAGGGTGCCTCAGATATCGAAGTTGGAATCAGAAAGAAACTACGCAGTTTGTGAAACCATCTGAGCCAGCCTTTTACATGAAAACAAGGTAAGATATGGTAAGATCAGTAAGATCCATCTGTTGCATCTTTTTGCAGCGCCGGCATTCACGGCCTCAAACTGTACAACTCTGTGCCGCAGCTGTGACTCCGAGAATTTCAGAGATTTTTTTCAAACTTTCCAAACTTTTCAAACTCTGTTCATCTCTGAGTTCATCTCTGTTCGGCTTCGGTTTGAAGTTTTTAGGTGTCAGGAATTGTCAGGATCCTCCGAGCCACGGTTTTTTTTGGTTTTGACGCTCTCTTTGAGCGGTTTCACATTGGCAGAATCATTGGCTTAACCTTGCTGTGGGCTGGCTGAATCCAGATTTAGAAGGATCAAAGGATGATGATGATGATGACATGGCATGGCTTAAATTGGATGTTTTTTTACATGGATTTTCACATTTCTTCTAGGCTTCTGACCGGCTGTGCAAAGTGCGCTGTTTGGCCTCAAAGCAACCGCTGCAGAAACAAACTGAAGCTTTGGACCTACGGCTGTGACGTCTTCAGTGTTTTACTCAGCAAACGGCGGTGCGTTCTCTTGACCAGGGCCGTCAAGCATAGCACGAAACAGCTGCCTTCCAAAGACATTTGATTTGGCTTCGAGTAGCTCAATGACATCTCAATGACCGGCCCAACCCCGTAGTTCTTTTTGAATGTTTAGCATTTACCTTGAAATTTTGGTCATTGACGTGGTCATTACGTCTAAATCTCCCTGTCCCGGGTCCTGGCACAGTCCAGCTGGGAGCGACGAGCTTGTGCTGCCTGTCTCAAGAGAGCTGCAACGGACTTCGACAGTCTTCGACTTGGGATAAGACTTGGCAGAAAGCCAATGGCACGAGGAAAATGGAAAACGATGGAAAACGCCCAGAGGTTTGACACCTCATGGCCAAACCGTTCAGCAGGTTCAGCTGAACAGTAGAAAGGCGGCAGGACGGCAGGAGCACCCTGACCCTGACCCTGACCCACCTCCTCCCGATGATCAACAGCCTCGTGCTACAGTCAGCTACAAAATGCTACAAATACACCACCAAATTCACAAAATCCTCCACTGCGTTTGAATCTTCGACAAATCTTGTCAAAATGATTCGCAAAAACTCCCACCATGGTGGATACTCGTACAGCTCTGCCTCTACGTTTCGCCGTTGTTCCTCAATCAAGTCCTGGAAGTTTGCTGCTGGGAACAAAGACCAACGCAAATCGATAAAATGTAAAAGTACTTGCAGTTACTTGCACGCAGGACTACACAGGACAATATTGGCGCTCCGACATCTGCCGATTCTTGTCCAGAACATGTCGGAGATTAGCCTTGCCAAGCATTCGATGACATCCCCTGCATGTTTTTCCATGTTTTTCCATGAATCCTTCACTACACCTTTTGAACATTTTTGAAACTTCCCTTCTGATTTACTGGCTCTCACTGGCTCTCACTGGCTCTCACCGGCTCTCACCGGCTCTCAGCCACGCCTTCAACGTCTCCACTTGCACTTTGAGCTTCGCCACTTGCTCAGCTTCTCGACGCATCCTGAGTTTCTGAATTTCATCGGAGCCAAAAATTGCCAACCATGCGACACTATGCCATCAGTATGCCATCAGTATGCCATCAGTATGCCATGGTCCAAAAAATGTTCAAAATACAAATTGGAGCAGCACCTTCGTACTTCCTGTCGAAGTGTCAACAGCTCCGTGCGAGGGCATGGGCCTTGATTCCAGATTATTACTAAAAAGATCTGGAAGACAGATTTCACATTGATTTCACCATATTTCACCGCAGTTTTTGTTTTCTCGGCGTCCAAAACTGTTGTGAAATTTGCACTGCTTGTGCTGGGATTCAAACGGACCGGCATTGAAGCTCGCTCTATCCTATTGTCTGAGCAATTGCACATTCAGATCTTTCCTGCTCTCTCCTTGCTCTCTCCATCCCAGTGTCCGACTGTTTCAATCCGTTCCACTTGCAGAAACAGGCTGGGTGACGATGTCAATGATGTGCAAAAATTGACATCACTTCCATTCTCCCAGATTTTGCCTGCGCGGCATTTCGCGACCTGTGAGGAGATTGCGATCGGCAAGTGCTTCGTAGGTGCTGCAAATACGCCTTGCCTCTGGAGCTTGACAGTGCTCTCACTTCGTTGATGTAGTGCTGGTCCCAAGTGTACCTTCGAAGCTCTGCAAACTGGGTCAAATGCAGGAAATGAAATGAATGGAAATGACGGCGCCAAGCATTGAGGATGAAACATTGTTTGCGGCTGCTTCTGTGGCGTCATATGTAGCATCATGCTGAACACGAATTCTTACCTTTGTGGCTCAAATGTCTTTTTGTAACACATTTTGCTGAAGCAAAGCACGTGTCGGAGAACTTGATCAAGCTGAATACTCTGTCAGGAAGCCCCAAAAAACATATGCACAGTTTTGGCGAAAAAATCATGAAATGTCTTGAAGTCACAAATGCAATCAGCTACAGCCAAACAATCGAATCTGAATTCAGAAATGGCTACAGCAGAGCATGCAGTGCAAAATCAAAGTGTGAAACTGCAAACAATGAGCAATTGCCACAAGCCACGTTAAGCAAAGAATTTCTGCATGAAGGACCATGAACGCATGTCCCACAAATGTTCTTTTTCACCCTGAAGCTCCACCTTCAAGGCTTCTTCCGCTGCCTCTGGAGGACACGCCTTAGTGATCAGTGATGTTTATCTTAGCTCAGGCAGAGATAAGCAGAGCATTCTTCTCCTCTCCTCTCCACCCCTTCAGCAGACTTCAGCAGACTTCAGCATGCCTGCAGAAGCCAACGGAGACGCAGCAGCTGTGCCTGGCAATTTTGACAATTTTGACCGTGCAGTTCTTCAATTTTGACAATTTTTCATTCGTTGAGTTCTTCAGAGTTCGCTCGCACCGGCCCCACCTCCCTGGAGTCCAACGAGAGCTGCAGGAAGCCTTCCGCGTCCAAGGTGGCCAGCAGAATGGCACAGGCCACGCTGACGTTGAACGAAATGCACCTGGAAATTGCACTGCGCTCCGAGGTCTCTGGAGATCTCTGGAGGTGGACTGTGCTTAACGAGGTGAAGAGGCCCAGTTGAGGTTCCAGTTGAGGTTCCAGTTGTGGTTCGATGTGAAGAAAGGAGATCAACATTGAAATGAAGTCTCAAATGTTGCAACAACCAATTCTATCCAAATCTACTTTCTCGTAAGCATCCTTTATTAAAGCAAACGATGCAAATGACACAAAATGGACATTCAAAATGTTGTCTGCACATCGTCTGCTTGAAAGGCGCAGCCCTTTCATTGGCAGAAGGCAAGAACCGTCTGCCAAACTACGAGCAGCTGGAGACACGCCAATATGCCTCAGGTGTGCTCGGCAAAGAAAGCATACATAGTGCTGCATGTAGAAAAACAAATTAATGTAGTTGAGATGTCATAAGAAATCAATTGTGGAAAAGCTGGATGAAACTGAACAATTATGAGACTTCCGGAGAAAATGCGTGGAGTGTTTCAAAAGTGGACCTCCACTGCATGCCAATAAATGCTGGTTGCTCCCAATGCATGCAAACATTTCAGTACACATCCTGGCATTCAAATTGAACGTCCTGAAACACAATCTGCTGGGACAGTGCACACATGTTCACACAAAACCAATCTCCCGCGATGATGGGTTGCGTGTTGGGACATGGTGGGGTTCTTCGGGTCCTTTTCAGTCAAAGGGCTCGCTGCCCAAGACGAACGCCAGTTTTGGAGGCTCAGCATTTCGAGTCCTCCAAATCGTGAAACGTTTTTGTGAAAGCAACACAGGGCTCGTCCATTCTTACAACGATGGAACTGTAATATCTGTAATGGCTTGACGCTTGTAGCTCCTCCAGGCGCTCAGCACTTCGTCCAAGGGTTTCTTGGACAGGTCCAAGGCCCAGATCTGCCGCCCTTCACGGCGCAATGCCTCCGGCAAGACGGCAAGACGAAGCAACATGGGAAAGAAATAGAACTAGACGACGGATGGCCCGAGAGCGTAGAGGAGCAGGGTCTTCTCTTGTTAGTATGGAGATGCAATTTTAGAAACGGTATATGAAAGCTGTGTTATAAGCAGTCGAGAAGAGGAGTATCAAGACAAAATAGTGAGAAGTGCAAGACAATAGTTTGCATCGCAAACACTTTTACACACAGACGCTTTTACACAGACGCTTTTACACACAAAGCTTTTACCCACAGAAGCTTTTACACACAGAAGCTTTTACAGACAGAAGCTTTTACATACAGAAGCTTTTACATACAGAAGCTTTTACACACAGACGCTTCTACACAGACACTTTTACACACAGACACGTTTACACACAGACACTTTTACACACAGACCCTTTTACACACAGGAGCTGCTTTTACAGACAAACGCTTGTGCACACAGAAGCTTTTACACATAGACGCTTTTACACACAGGCACTTTTACACAGAAACACTGTTACACACAAACACTTTTACACACAGGCGCTTTTACACGCAGACGCTTTTACACACAGAAGCTTCTACACACAAACACTTTTACACACAGACGGTTTTACATACAAAGACTTTTACGCAGAAACACTTTTACACACAGACGCTTTTACACACAGACGGTACTCACAGCGAAGTCATCGTTGTCGTGGCCACCTGAGCAATCCGACGGGGTGGTGCGGCGAAGTCCTATTTCCATGTGACTCGAAACCAGCATCTATAAACATGTCATGAGGGCTATGTGCTTTGGGGCCCCCCAACCAAGGTGGTTTGCCATCTCCTGAAAAAAAAGTATAAACGGGCGGACCTGGCAGGTGGCGAACGTTTCTGGGCTGGGACACACACAGTATGACAATATGATATAAGTTGGTTCTTTTGGGGTTTAGGGTCCTGACTCCTGACTGTGACTGGAATTGAAACTCTTATCTTAACACTCATACATCCATCTCTATATATTAACACTCATACATCCATCTCTAATTCATATTGCTATTCCTATCTCAATATAAAATATATCGATTTGTCTCTTTGTGGTAGCAGCCTGCCTATCCATGTAATCCATCCCATCCCGGGGCCCTGACTCCATGCAAACCTAGCTGCACAGACCAACAACTATCTGCGCAAAAGGAATCGGCAGCTTTATTCATCTTCGATGGAGTCTCAGCCCGTTCTGCTTGACGCATGCCGATGCACTGTGGTGAGACAGGATGCACTATGGTGAAACTGAATGTCTCAAGCAAAGATGCGTGCATCAGAAAGTCTCAGACAGTTCTGGTTGACTCATGCTGATGCACTTCATTTTCAAATTCAATTGACATCAGTGGCTACCTCGGTTGATCTTTATCTGGGCACCTCCACGGACACGACCTTAGGTCCAGCATCTCTGTGAACGCAGCAAGATCTTCCACATTGCATCACAAGTGGTGTTGAAGATACCCCGACTACTGCCGGTTGGGATCCTAGTCTCGACGAACGTAAAACTATGCCTTTCATTTAATCAACGACCTTTCAAGTCCTCTGCTCCATTCATCCGCGCGCCTGTAATCACGGTCACATAGCTGACACCATCAGAGGACATAGGACATTCCTTGAAAAGACATAGGTCGCATTATGCAAAGAGGTTTGAGTGGAAGGGCAGAAAATAGAAGGGTAAAATCCAACTACCATGCTATATAATATGAACACGTGCTACCACTGCCTCGATCTGCCAAATTCGTATCCTGTCTCATGAGGGCGGTGTGCTTTGGGGCCCCCCAACCAGGGTGGTTCTGGCAGGCGGCGGACATTGCTGGCCACCTCAGCATTTCGACGGAGGGGTGAAGTTCGTACCATGCATTTGTACTTTGTATTGCTCAGACAGTTCTGGTTGCAATACAAGAATCAAAGTTAAACATCAAATAACTAAGCTGCTCACAAGGGTGTTGAGAAGACAAAGAATCGACCTGGCCCCCCGCCAGGGTGGGGGAACCATCCTATCCCCTCAAAGTCTTATAGGAGCAGGCCATAATTATATACTTATTAGCAAAGTCTGAAGCTAAGGCCTAAGGCTGTTAATCTAAATATTGTAAAGATGCAAGATGACGACTCGACGATGTGCACCTCATCACAATACGTGACCAAGTGTGTAATGTCATGCAAAACATCGAATGACTGCCACACACTGATGACAACATGCAGCAGGCCTCCAAAATCTCCAAAGACAAGCACCACAGCCACCAAAAGAAGCTCTGGAAATGCTTACAGTCATGTTTGCTCGGACAGTTCAGGGGGGAGCAGGGTCTTCTCTTGTTAGTATGGAGACGCAATATTAGAAACGATATATGAAAGCTGTGTTATAGGCAGTCGAGAAGAGGAGTATCAAGACAAAATAGTGAGAAGTGCAAGACAATAGTTTGCATCGCAAACACTTTTACACACAGACGCTTTTACACTGACGCTTTTACACACAAAGCTTTTACCCACAGAAGCTTTTACACACAGAGCTTTTACATACAGAAGCTTTTACACACAGAAGCTTTTACATACAAACACTTTTACACACAGACGCTTTTACACACAAACGCTTTTACACACAGACGCTTTTACACACAGACGCTTTTACACACAGACCCTTTTACACACAGACGCCTTTACACACAGACACTTTTTACACACAGACGCTTTTACACACAGACGCTTTTACACACAGACGCTTTTTACACACAGACGCTTTGACACACAAACATTTTTTTACACACAGACGCTTTTACACACAGACGCTTTTTACACACAGACGCTTTTTACACACAGACGCTTTGACACACAAACACATTTACACACAGAGGCTTTTACACACAAACGCTTTTACACAAACACTTTTACACACAAACACTTTTACACACAGACGCTTTGACACACAGACGCTTTTACACACAGACGCTTTTACACACAGAGACTTTTACACACAGAGACGCTTTTACACACAGAAACTTTTACACACAGACGCTTTTACACACAGACGCTTTTACACACAGACGAAAGGGTTGCTCCGGCACAGGAAAAATCGCAATTTTACCTCAGTTTCTACCGATCGACCCTCATTTCGTGCGAAAGGGTTGCTCCGGCACAAGTAAAATCGCAATTTTACCTCAGTTTTTGCCGATCGACCCTCATTTCGTGCGAAAGGGTTGCTCCGGGGCAAGTAAAATCGCAATTTTACCTCAGTTTTTGCCGATCGACCCTCATTTCGTGCGAAAGGGTTGCTCCGGCACAGTAAAATCGCAATTTTACCTCAGTTTTGCCGATCGACCCGCATTTCGTGCGAAAGGGTTGCTCCGGCAAGTCAATCGCAATTTTTCCTCAGTTTTTGCCGATCGACCCTCATTTCGTGCGAAAGGGTTGCTCCGGGCCAAGTCAAATCGCAATTTTACCTCAGTTTTTGCCGATCGACCCTCATTTCGTGCGAAAGGGTTGCTCCGGCACAAGTCAAATCGCAATTTTACCTCAGTTTTTGCCGATCGACCCTCATTTCGTGCGAAAGGGTTGCTCCAGGCACAAGTCAAATCGCAATTTTACTCAGTTTTTGCCGATCGACCCTCATTTCGTGCGAAAGGGTTGCTCCGGGACAAGTCAAATCGCAATTTTACCTCAGTTTTTGCCGATCGACCCTCATTTCGTGCGAAAGGGTTGACGTTTCGTGACTCGCCGCCGGCACCACCCTCGGCCTTAAGAGAGAAAGATAAAAAGAAGGCGTGAGAGAGAAGGTGAGCAGGTGTGAAGATAAGAAGATGTGAAGATGAGCAGATGTGAAGATGCAGATGTGAAGATGAGCAGATGTGAAGATGAGCAGATGTGAAGATGAGCAGATGTGAAGATGAGCAGATGTGAAGATGAGCAGATGTGAAGATGAGCAGAGATGTGAAGATGAGCAGATGTGAAGATGAGCAGATGTGAAGATGAGCAGATGTGAAGATGAGCAGATGTGAAGATGAGAAGATGTGAAGATGGGAAGGTGTGAAGATGAGCAGATGTGAAGATGAAGATGTGAAGATGAGCAGATGTGAAGATGAGCAGATGTGAAGATGAGCAGATGTGAAGATGAGAAGATGTGAAGATGGGAAGATGTGAAGATGGGAAGGTGTGAAGATGAGCAGATGTGAAGATGGGAAGGTGTGAAGATGAGCAGATGTGAAGATGAGAGGATGTGAAGATGAGAGGATGTGAAGATGAGCAGATGTGAAGATGAGAGGATGTGAAGATGAGAGGATGTAAAGATGAAAAGATGTGAAGATGAGAGGATGTGAAGATGAGAGATGAAATGTGTGAAGATGAGAGGATGTGAAGATGAGAGGATGTAAAGATGAAAAGATGTGAAGATGAGAGGATGTGAAGATGAGATGTGAAGATGAGAGGATGTGAAGATGAGATGTGAAGATGAGATGTGAAGATGAGAAGATGTTTTACAGACCCCCACTATTGGAAGAACCCTGCGCTCAGACGCTCTCGGGAAAAAACCGCTATGAAGATGAACAGTGATGAACTTCTATCGTGAACCATCCTGTTTCAAAATTGAACTCGAGATTTGTTCAACATGCAATTCGCTATCATTTGTTGTTTTACTCATTTGTTGTTTCACATGAAAACAACAAAACAGAAAATGAAAGGAACATGATATAAACAATTATCAAATGCTGCCGGTGATAAACTGCCTCGAAGCAACTTGGCACATCTTTCCAGCGACGAAGCAGTAGCCACGGCTGCAATTGCAATGCCTCACGGATCTTCGAGGATCTTCGAGGATCAATTGATGAATTTTTCCACCATCGGTTTCCAGGGACACAAATTGAAACAATCGTTGCAGCATGCAGCCAGGTCACGCCCGCGATCTCACTGAAACGTGCATCATCTCCATCAACTGACAGAAGTGAGGTGATTTTTTTACTGCAAAGATGTGCAAAGGGACCATAGGTTGGTTCAAAAACGTTCAAAACAATAGTACATACCCACCGTGCAGCGCCCAGAAATCTGAACAAAACATCAAGGTTTTTTTATAGTCTTTTCTTATATTATATAATAGAATTTTCATATCATTTTCATATCATTTTCATTTACTGTTTTGGGAAGCTATGGGAAACTCATTTTACAATGGCGATTGCGCTGCAGCTGCGGTGCCTAGCTCCACCTGCACAAGGCCAAAGGCATCCACAGTCCTTTCCACCGACGAGGAAAAAAACAGTGACTGCAGTGACTGTGGAAACATATCCAGATATCTGCAGATTTTCTGTGACTCAGAAAAGACTCTCAAATCACCATCTAAATCATCTATCAGAACGACGGAATTTCTTCTCTCAACTGGCGTTCTCTGGGTCTTAATACTAATTCGACTGGTGAGGGTTGAAGTCCTCAGCCTCAGATCCTTCTCAGATCCTTCTCAGCGACTTAAAGCGTTCAATTCCGTTAAATATGTTAAATGACGAAGTCGCTGAGCCCTTTTGGCTCTGCCATGCTGGTGGTGCTGGTCGCTTCGGACTAACACTCGACACCGGGGAAACAAATGGTGATGTCACCGCTGCCAAACGCCATCCAGTAGTCATCATTGTCCTGGCAAAGATCTGTCGAGAGAAAAATGAAAGAACAATTGGAACAATGATCTAGACAAAAAATGAAAAAAAGAACTTCGAGGTAGATTGGTTGAATGATGTTGAATGGAACATTTCTTTATATGCCCCCAAGCGTTTCATGGGTTTTTGATGGTTTTCGTCGTTTTTCGTTTCCCAAGTTCTTCTGACAGCCACCGTTCAGACCTTTCACGGGGAAACTTTTTGCCTGCGACTCCACTGAGGTGTCTTTGGAGCATGGCACGTCCGCGGACAAACCGTTGCTGCTGCTGGGGCCCAAATTGTTTTTCACGTACATGGAGTAAATCCTCAAGAACAGAGAGTCACTTGGGAATGCAAGGTTTTTTACGAGTTCCAAGTAGATTGATTCCGATGGATTGAAGAGGGGAATCATGGTTTGCCTGACTGGCACTGTTTCTGAGTGCTGATCGACTCAAAGCAAACAGGATATCCCGGATGCCCCAGACCCGGATTGATGTCTCCAATGAAATCATTGCAACACTGAGAACTTTTGAAGAGATGGAGTCGCGGAAAAAGACGAATGCCTTTTGATTTTAAGTGATTTTAAGTGGACCAATTGGTTCTAGCTTGGGCAAATCGCTGCTGGGTATGGAACACACACACACACATATACGTGTATATATTCATAACATATTATATATTATTATATTATTATACATAATTACGTATTTAGATAATTTAGATACGTATAACTTATATAACAAAACATGTTTGGCCAAGACTCTTCTGGGGTGTTTTTGTGGTCACTCCGATGTAGCCATCCGAAGGGTTCCAGCTGAAAGTGAATTCACCATCGGCAGGAACGTCTTGCCACAACTTGGCATCCTCAGAATATCGCAGCGTCGCACATCTTGGCATGGTTATCATATGTTATCATCAAACTTCGAGGAGAACTATGGCATGCTTCAAGGCGACCAGAACTGCTCGTTGATGTTGAGAACGTCATGCATCTGTTTTGAATGTCTTACTAACTCGAGGTTTTTACCGGAACCAGCTTTAAAATACGGTGAATGCGTAACCCAACAAGAAGTGAGACTAAACTTGGGACAACCAAAGATCATGAATGGGTCCGCCATTCACTTGCGACACATTTGCAGATCACTTGCGACACAACGCCTTCTTATCTCATGGAGGTATGTGGACGAGAGATAAGTCACTGCTCTTATCATCTGGCTAACCTGACAATGTCGATGGTCCTACCTTTTAGGGTTTGGGGGTGGGGGGGTCAGGGGTTTAAGTGTTGGGGGGGTGGTGGGGCATACAAGATAATTAGCGTCACAAGCGACGAGAAAATGTCTCAATGGAAGACATCTGTGTGAAAGGCAGCCATTTTTCAAAGCTGCTGCAAGGAAGTTGACAGGACCGTTCAGGACACAGTTTCATGCCAGGCATTGCCTGCTGACAAAAATTGCAACAATCTGACTAAAATGTCAAGTCATGAGCAATGACAGCAAAGTAAGTTTGCATAATAAACTAAACATCGCATCACCAAACGAGCTGGGCTTTTTCGCCGGGCTTCCTTTGTGAGTTGCCGAGCATATTTGCTTGTGACAGTCGATTTGCATGGCGAATCCCCTGAGCCAGTACACGATAGACTGGTGTAGTCCTGCTTTAAATCTCCTGACACGATGGTCTGCTTGTCCCAATTCGACAAGGTTTTGGGCGAAACCGAAGTGTCAAAAAACAAAGGCCCTTTTTCACCTGGACTTACGAAGCAAGCACTGTGATCCGGGTAATTCTCGGGCGACTGAGCCCAACCACCTGTGTAGGCGCAATAGGCTTTGGTATCATCTTCATTTGTCACCAAAACCATGAGATAAGGATTCTTTCCTCCGAGGCATTTTGCAAATGCTTCATTGAAGCCTTGCGCACAAGTGGGAGCAAGTTTCTGAGACGCTGTGCCACCACTCCCAGAAGGACCTTTCACGATAATTTTCTGAGACCTTTCGGACTGTAGCAGGCTCACTGGCTCACAGGACCCGGATTCGCAGGATTCACCAGCAGAAATTGCCACGAGCACAAGACCCACAAGACCCACAAGAGGGAACATCATGGCGCACCAAGTTTTGCCCGAGCTAAACAGATGTTCTCATATAGACCTTGACACATGAAAGGCTTCGGACAATGTTCAGCTCCTTGAGGATTCGCTTGAAACATAATTACTTAAAATTGCTTCAAATTTTATCACTCAGTGTGTCTGTGTTTGGAAGCTCGTGTTCATGAAAAGAACAAAGCTCATCTTTGCTTGAAAATTGATGCATTTTCAATCATGAAACAAGGCAACATAAGGCAACCAGCTGCATCTCATGATTCTCATGTCAAAGGGGTTCCTTCAACCGTGAGTACCCCATGTACCCCATGAGTTGGAGACATGGCAAACTCGTCCTGAGAACCGTCCAAGCATTTCGAAGGTTGCAAGGCCTGCCCGGTGCAACGTCCGCACAAAAACCATGGCCGCTACGCAATTGACAGCTCCAGCTATGGCATCTGAAACACCTGCACTCTGTAGTGACTGTAGTGCAAGCTACTTGTCTGCAACGCAAACAACATCTCAGATCTGATCTGTTCGGGTTGCAAGGCCTTTCTAAGACAATGGCCACCGAGTTGACTTTTCTTTGCAACACTTCTTCCACCTCAGCTGCCAAGGAAAGTCTGTAAAGAGTAAAGAATGTCTCTGAACTTCTGCTGTCTGCTGAATTCTGCTGAAAGTTTCGAAGATTTTCGAAGCTTCTCTGCTCTGCCCCTTGCATCCAGGCTACGTTCGAAGCCCACCTCTCACCTGCCAGCTGCGCCAGAACACATGCCAACCTTTCCAACCTTTCCAGGCGTTCCATCACCTTCTTCGCAGCAAACTCTTCTGATGTCTTTGCATCACTTTGAGCATCACTTTGAGCATCACTTGGAGCATCACTTTGAGCATCACTTCGAGCATCACTTTGAGCATCACTTTGATACGTTTCATGAATCATTTGCTCCAATTTGCGTGTCAAATCGATACGTTTCATGGCCACCGGGTCTTGAGCAAAACCCACAGGGACTGGTTCCAAATGCCGTCGTCGCACGTATCTGATGCCCCAATCTTGCCACTCCCAACCTGCCAGGAAGACACTGTGTCGACACGGCACAGTGTTTGTTGCATTCGTGCTTGATTTCCATGTTGTGCTGCGATTCCAAACTCATTCAACTAATGTGTTTGATTGGTTACTTCATGTTACTTCATGTCACTTCAAAGGGCGCCACTTTGCTTCCGATTCTATCCGATTCTCCAATCTTCCCAACCTTCCCAAACACGATGGTGTGCAGGATCAGCGATGGGATCCACACCATGCGACGTAGCCTTGACGGTTCGACGACGAGCTGAGTACGACTGCCGAAGGATCCGAAGGCTTCCAGCGCCAAGCACCAGCGGCACCAGCGACACCAGCGGCACCGGCGCGACCAACGGTGTCTTTGTGGCGAAAGCACGAGGGTCACGGGGGTCACGTGGTGGACACCGTTGACAGGGTTGACTTCCATTCCAGGGCTTGGTGCGAAATGGCACCGTCAAAGTGGGGGCCACAGGAGAGGCCAGCATCGTCTCTGCTGATCTATTGGACTTTAAGTGATTTAACCGCTGAAATGACATGAATTGGTGCACTTTGATGCACTTTGGTATTACGATCTTGGCATCTAAATTGTCCATTGGATTTGTGAAATTCACTTCTCAAGCAGTGACAAGTTCCATGACTTCAATGGTCTGAACAAATCCTTGCAGTTTGAGAGAAGTTTCACAATCGCAGATACAAACGCGTGTGTTGTCGTGTTGTCACCTCAAGACTCAATAAGCCTCAGCAGCTTGAGCCGCCAATCACAAGTAACATGAGGAACTTGGGCCCCGGCAAAATCACATGTTCCGGCAATTGGAAAAGGGTGCAGAATAGTTTTTTTTTGCTCAGGTTTTGGAATTTTTGTTGGGATTCTTTCACGGTACCATCTGCCTTGTATTTGCAACAGTTTGGAACTAGAATCTGTCATTTTGCATGGTATTTGCTACATTTTGGCATGGTCACTTTGCATTTTGCATGGTATTTGCTACATTTGGCCATCTTCGCCTTCCATTTTGCATGGTGTTTGCCACGTTTTGGCACTTCAACCTCTCATTTGCATGGTATTTGCAACATTTTGGTACTTCAAACGTTCATGTGGGTTTCTTGAGAGTTTCTTTAGAGTTTCATTTAGGGTTTCATGTAGGGTTTCATTTAGGGTTTCTTTAAGGTTTCTTTAGAGTTTCGTTTAGGGTTTCTTTGGGGTTTCATTTAGGGTTTCATTTATGGTTTCTTTAGGTTTAGGGTTTCTTTAGAGTTTCGTTTAGGGTTTCTTTAGGGTTCATTTAGGGTTTCTTGTCAGGATTTCTTTAGGGTTTCTTTGGGTTTTACCTAGGGTGTTTACAAACAGGAGAGAATAAAGCAAAAGCAAAGAAAAAAACACGAGAGGCAGTAAAGACAGGAAGCAGAGAAGCAAAGGAGCAGGAAGTAGAGCAGCAAAAACACATGACTGAAGAAAAGAAAAAGTAGAATAGTAGAAGTAGAAAGGCACAGAAGCACACAAGCAGAAAAGCAGAGAAGCAGGGAAAGCATAGAAGCAGAAAAGAAAAGAAGCAGGTAAAGCACAAAAGCAGAAAAGCAGAGAAGCAGGAAAAGCAAAAAGCAGAAAAACAGAAAAGCAGGAAAGCAGGAAAGCATAGAACCAGGAACCCAAAAATAATTCCAAAACCTGCCGCAAAAAATATACCAAACATAAATAGCCCTCCATTGGAAAAGGACATCTGCAGAACTGCACAGAACTGCAGAAGCATATGCTGTGTGAGATTGTCCTGGACAGGACTACACCTTCTTTGTACGTAGAGGATTGGAATCACTCTTCGCATTGCTGCATGGCCACTGCAGGGTTGCATCGGTTTATTATTGATGAACCTTGGGGTCCTATAAGTCGTTTATAAGTCGCCTATACGGTCTATACGTAAGGTTGTAGCACGGTTGTTCAAACGCAAACTGCCCATTTTTGCCGCGGGTGTGTCTGAGTCATCTTCTGACCTCAGCAAAGTCCAAGAGAAGCAACACCTGACTTTGGAAAAAAAAAGGAGCAGAATTGAAGAAGAATTGAAGGGTTGAAGATGGTTGAAGATTGTTGAAGGGATTTCACTTTCAAGGGTGCGGTAATGCGCTCCAAACCTGGCTCAATGATGCGTTGCCAAGGCGCATGGAAAAAGTCCAGCGGCCTAATCGAACACACATCATGGCCATGTGAATGCCATATGAATGCCATACCATCGACACCACAAAAAGACGACGCAGAAAAAACAAATGCCAAAACACGGAGATCACCACAGATCTGGGCGGAAAAACCCTGCCTCTTCTGGTCTTCTTAGGCCTTCTTGATGGCATCCACCTCTGCACCAAACCGTGGCGAAAACGCACAAAGCAGGTGACGCTGTTGTCGATCTGCGGTCGTTCTGCGGTCCCGTGCCTCGGCCTTGACTTCCTGACGCCTGTCATGAAACGGCAATTCCGGCAATGTTTTCCTCTCTTCATTTTTTTCACAGTTGGCTCAAACTCAAGCTGGAACTCTTCTGAGTACACGTGACACAGGATGACACAGTAATTATATATATAATTATATGATATGTATTATACAGTTATACAATCTTATACATAATATATAGGTGAATTATGAGAACTATATAGAACTATTATAAATTTATATGACTTTATGGGCAGTTCGCGATACACTTTCGATGTTTTGTTTCATCGTTGCCTCTTGGTCAAAGGATTGGCGAGGGCTGCCACGAAGGCGGCTCCGTAGATCAGGACCAAGGCGATCCCGCCTACCGAGATCTACGATCTGAGACCGAGATCTGAGTGTAAAACACACTAGAAATATGTAGGACATATCTAGAATCTAGAAATTACATGAAGAAATACATTTAGAAATATGTAGAACATGTAAAGATTAAACTTGATTAAACAACTCAAGCAAAAGATCAAGTATGATACAGTATGTTCAAATTGACACGAGAATCTGATATTGGCAATATCTTGGCAATCTATTCTGTTATTTGGTGAATCAGTGAAGATAATGACTATGGACTATGAAGCAATGTTGAAAGAACCCAACAAAATCTCAGCACCGCTGCTGGGGTTTGCCTACCAACCAGCTCTGCAGCATGGCCACGACGCTGTCATAGGCGTTTGCCTCAAGAAATTCAGGCAGTGCAGAGCCAGAACTCTCTGCATCTCGGCAAACAAATGTACCGACACATTTGTGTAGCAACTTCTAGCAACTTCTAGCATTCTAGCACCAAGTCTTGGGTTTTTAGGTTCCAAAAAATCCAGCTGAGGTTGCAACAGGTTGCTCCACCTTAGCTGGGATGCTGACCCCTTCAGCCTTTCGGAAGGAATGTTGTGACTGTGTTGAACTGTGTTGTCGAAAAACAAGACATGCACCAAACAACTTGGCAGTACCATGCAGTACCTCAATTTCACATCATTTCACATAATTTCACCATGGTATTTCACCATCTTGGTAGATCCTGGCAGTACCGTCATGGTGTTGTTCAGGTCCATTTCAACCTTTTTTTATCGTCGCTGTTGGGCACCCCCACTGCCAAAGGGGCCAATCCCGCGAAGGTCGCTCCCAAAACACGGGCCTTGGCAGATGATACCTCCGTACCTTTCAACAGCTTGAGAAACCTAATAGAACTAATAGAACTGAGACATACCGAGACAAGTGGAACACCAAGAACTGACGATTTTCAATGATGTTGACATATGTATACATATGTTGACTATTTGAACAACTCTCACAGAAAACTCCTCGATGGGTTGAGCAGCCAACATCCACCTCTGGAGCAGCTCCTGGTAGCGTTGCAGCGTTGCACTGACCGGTTGCATACGGTGGGGTTCAGCTGTTGCACTGCCCGTTGCACTGAACGTTTCATGCCGTTTGGGGTTTCTCGGTTTCTTGGTTTCTCTATCTCGGTCTTTCCTGTCTTTATCTGCCTTTGGCCCTGGCTTTCTATCCATGTTGATTTCCCTGTAATAATTTTGCAGCTTTTGTTTCAGTACAAAGGGCACTCAAGGGCTTATGCGTTGGCTCCCGCGCTCTATCTCTCTCTCTCTCTCTGAGGCTTGCATGTGTCCATTTGCAAATCTGCAGCTCAACCAGCCTCTCGAAGGCGATACAAAGGCTTGCGAAACCTCAGCTAAATGATCTGAAGCACGAATGACACTGCAATCACTTTCAAGTCCAACAAATGAACATCCTTTGGTTTTGATGTTTTGGAAAAATGACTTCATACGACTTCGTAATACTATTTGTATGCTGCGCTGAGGGCTGGTTGAACAGATTGAGAGATCTGCGAATGCGAAGCCCAGAGCGGCCACCAACAGGGACAGGAGGGTGCCACCTGAGCGACAGAATTCGACACAGTCTGAGTCTGCACGGCACCGTCTGCACATGTCTGCACATGTCTGCACATGTCTGCGAGTCTGACAGACGATCTGAGACCCCTCGACATCTGTGATGACTGCAACTTGTCGGCATCTGGGCGCCCTGACGGCGAGCCATTTTCTTGAACCTTGCACGAAGCACAGAGGTCGTGTCAGCTACACTTTTTAGAGCTCGTGCTTCAACTTGCGAGAGCTATACAATGGTTATACATTGACATACGGATCATACGGTCCATCCCCCAAGTCTGGTGTGACATATTTTTTCGTTGAATCAGTTGAATCCCTGAGGATGAGTCTTTTGGGGGCTTTTTTTGCGACCGGTGCTGAGAGCCAAAAAGCCTAAGACTTACTAAGACTTACTAAGTTACTAAGATGATGTAAGATGATGTGAGATGCGTGAGGACTCCATTCTTTGGCACTTCCATTCTTGTTGCATCTTGTTGCATCTTGTTGCCAACGGATGTTCCGACCACTTCTTGGCCTTTGAAAATCGCCAAGCTGCTCAACTCGCCAAACGCACCAAACGCCAAGCTGCACTCAGTTTGCGTCAACTTTTTCCCAAACTGCTTCACTGCTTCATTATCCTATGCACATCCAATCCCTACAGAAAACCAGCATGGAACTTCGAGCCATTCTTCGAGCTATTCGGGAAAGTAAATGGTGTGGAGATAAGTTCGATGCTGGTCTTGGTGAAAACCGATCGAACCATGTCTTGCACTGCCTCGAGGTCAGGAAATAAGCTCCGTTGCTTCACATCTTTTCCAATCTTTTCCAGCAAAGCCAATGTAGGATGCAGTACAAAAGACAAGAGCTGGTTCACTGGCCGTTCAAAGATGTTCAAAGTATTGCTAATCAGAAAACGATAACCTCATTCTGTAGGTGGTCGTCCTGCTGTCAATTTCCCAACGGAAATCACTTTCCAATCAGTTGCTGGCTCCAGAATGATATCCCTAAGACCTCCCTTTGCACCGTGGAAAACAGTGATCCTTTCTAGCCTGGTTGCTTGCCCTAGTAGACCTGTCTTATCCTGTCTTTTTGTATTTGTGCATTATGTGTGCATCATCTCCACATATCTCCACGTGTGTTGTCCATTTTTCTCCCATCCCCTGTCCTTTCTCTGCAGCTTTCGCACCTGTGGTCAATACCAATGCCATGTGGCATGGCCGGATGGCCGTGAGACAGAGTTACGCGCGATTCTCTGGGCTCTGCACATGCGTTGCTAAGAGAAAGCCCAGATATCCTGTCAGGGATAAATATGGATAAATGAAATATCCAGCAGGATCTGATTTTGAGTTTTCACTATGATCATTCCAACACGTAACATGCTGATACAAACATACTTAGCTGTTGATACAGTTGATATATATATATATGTAATGGTAAAGGATGGTAACACATCGTAAGTGACTGTTAGATTGAACTTGTCACACAAGTCCCTGGCATGGCCTAAGCTGCAAATAGGCACCGCTATCCACACCTGGACTTTGGATGACTTTGGGAGGTGCAGAATGCCCATGAAAACACCCTGGTGGATCTGGAAGGTGGATCTACTCGGAGCCTTGCGAGCCTTGTGGTTGGAGCAATTCCAGGAGAAACATGAATAAACTGAAAATAAACTGAATAAACAGTTTATAAACTCTAAGAGTTCAGGAAAGCTCCAAAAGCTCCAAGGCTCAAGCAGTACCTAAGCGTCTGAGGCCCTGCTGAGGCCCTTGCGAAGTAGCTAAACCACACCAAGGATAGACCGCAAGCTCCTTTGTTCCTCAGTAGAAAAACGGGTCCTGTCCTATGAATCCTATGAATCTTTGTATCCAAAGCAGCAAAGGCCATCCAGCAAAACTGCACAGTCGAAACTCAATCTCTCCTGCCTTTGTGTGTTCAGCTCATGTTGTTCCAGTGCTCTCAACAAAGTGTTTTTTGAGACCTTTTCTGCAAGTTTCCCTTCTGTTTTTGCTTCACATTGCTGGGCTAATCCTGTAGAAACATGTAAAAAATTGTAGAAACTACTAAATCGGGTCTTGCTTTGCAATCCTTATGCGCCCTGTGTGCTCTGAACCTCTGAACTTCCATACTTCAAATTTCTGAAAGTTTCATAGAAAGTATTTCTTCACCGAAATCAACACGCCATTTTCTTCACCATTTCATCTTTCTACCTTCCCTGCCTATCCAAGGTGAAGAAATAGGTGAATTTCACCGTTTGACCTACCCTGCTCCCGTTCTCGCACTCCTTTGACCTCTGCCTTCACCCCGGTCCAAGGTGAACAGTTGGTGAACAGTTGGTGAACAGCTCACTGGGCCGAAGGGCCGCTCCACCGCGGGATCGGAGGTCCACAGAACTCCCACGACGTCCAGGACCTCTCCGGCACTCTCCGACCATGAAAACTTCTTGCATGGCTATCATGGCTATCATGGCTATCATGGCCATCATGGATATCATGGTCTCCGACGAAAACTTCCCGGGGTCGGACTTGTCAGACTCGCTCACTCTTGTTGATCTTGTTTTCAATTCACTTGCACTTTCAACACTATGGCATACCGTTGTGGTCAAAACACCTAAAGTGCTGGGAATTACAAACCTGAAAACACAAAAACACTTCTTTGACAAACACTGATGTTTCACCAAAGATTCAGATACTTTTGGCATGGCATTTTGTAACCAGGACAGTTCAGACATGTTCAGACCTAGCAGTTGAATCGCCCAACATGTCGCATCCCAACTGCATCTCCCAAAACGAGGCAGCTCACCACTAGGATGACCAAAATCGCAATGCGACCAACCACAGCCTCTACGGCTACGGCGCAGGTTTGTGGAAATCCAAAGACGCGTTCAAACATGTTTAAACTAAACGAATACAACAAATACGCTAATACAATCTGATACACAAGGAAAACTGGATAACTTTTTGGATAAGCAATGATAAACTGATAAGCAGTCAATATGATAGGTGGATGAGGGAGAGTGGCTCAGGCAACTCTCTTAGTTGAGGCATGCGCGTTTGGATCTGTGACGTAAGCGAGCCCGCTAAAGACCAGGACCAAAAAGCCGAACCTTTGCAGTGGGACAAATTGGAACACTGCGACAGAGATCATTTGAAAAATTACTTTCAATATCTTTCAATTACTTTTGTCGTTGAAGCGCTTGAAGCGCAGGAGATTCAATGCCGACTGACATTGTTTCCGTGAAAGGCAGGTTCATTCCCAAAGCTTTACGAAGCTGTTCATGATTCGGAACCGCTCAGCGGCGCACCAGATTGTCTAAATAAAACCACAGTCACTCAGCTGCCCACCACATTAGAATACCATCCTCAGCTGGTGCGACGTGTCATGGCCATGTTATGGCCATGGATCTTTGTGACAAAGCTATGCAGCTATCGAACAAAATGAAATACACCCTTCATGCGACCAAAGCACCAAATTTCGAGGGCAAACATTATCTCGATACCTGGGAGTTTGATGGAGTTTGATGGAGTTTGATGGAGTTTGCAGGAACCAATTGGAGGTGGAACGGCTGTTCATGGCTGTTCCAAATGCTTCCAGATTTTCTTCAGGTCAGACAGCTGCGCACTCCCAACCAGCGAAGACCAGCATCCACCCAAAGATGAAAGGAAAACCAACGTAGCAAAACCTCAGCATGCAACTGATCTTCCTGACCTGCTCCCATCCAGGTGGATGATTCTTTGGATAGATTCGAATGTTAGGGAAAAATGGTGAAAGATTGTAAAACATGGTGAAAAATGGGAAAACTGGTTCTGAAGCCAAAGGATTCTGGCTTCTTGGAAGGTCTCAGCTGGGGCATCTGCTTGCTGCAGGAACTCAAGGCAAGAGGCAAAGCCTGCAACAAACTCAGAACACATCAGAAACAGTCTGATTTAAGATGATCTAATCCTTAACATTCGTTCACCATTTTCAGGACAACATGACGACATGTTTTCAATAAAGGATTGAAACGACATCCAAATCTTGGTGGTAGCCATGGCCAGGCGAAAAACATGAATCTCATCAATTCTCATCATATCTCTACACTTCTCTACATTGTTCCCCATGACAATCATGACATGTTCACCTCTGCAGGCCTTGATGACCCGCTGACCCATCGGCTGCTGGGACACGCCAGGATCTGCCGAAAGCGAGACCCGGGGAGACCCGGGGAGAGCCGGGGAGCGCATGGAGCATGCCGAGCGTGCCGAGCGTGCCGAAATCAACAGAAATCAACAGAAATCTGCAAGTATTCTCCAATATTCTCCAAGTTTTGAGCTTCACAAATTTCAGAGGCATTCACAGGTCTAGTTCCAGTACCTGTTGAATCACATATTTTTTGACGAATTGCCCATTTCTTACCAATCATGTCTTGCCAACTGACCGCGCCTGACATCAGCGGAATCCCAGGTTGAGATGACCAAGTCCTATCAGTTTAGAACAAAAAATTACTAAAACCCAAAGGAAAACATTGGACACTCAACATATCTCAACATATCTCAACATCAACCAATTGCTGGCCATATTGGCCACAACCATTCTTCATCATTCTTCGTTGATGTGTGACCCTTCGAGGCTCAGGGTCTCAGGGCCTCAGGGTCTTAGGTCGTGACGTGCCAGGTGCGCCACTTGGGTTGGCACCATCATCCACCTGGATCTGCTTTAAGCTTTAGATGATTTTTGGATGATTTTTCATATTTTTTCGTGCAAAACAGTTTTAACCGTAGATATTTACACAGTTTTCATGACTTTTTTGGATGACTTTTCTCTGTGAAAAAGAAACCAAAGCCGTAAATATAGTACATTGGGATGGCATTTGCTCGTCAATCTCTGGCAATCGCGCCTGTGAGTAGCCTACAAGACCCTTGACCATGGATGTGGCATGACCTGACAAACAACAACATTAAACGATTAAAACATATATCATTTCACGTCTGAAAGCAGATAGAAACATGTACCTTTTGCCGCTTACAGCCACATCTACATCTATCTACATCTATCTACATCTATCTACATCTTTCAGTTTGTTCGTCGTCACAGTGTCTCAACATGTTTCGACATGTTTCAACATGTTTCAGTGTCGAGATGTCAGGATTTTCAGTGCGTTTCGAGCTTTCGAGCTATGGCGATGCTCAGCTCAGGCACCAAATGCACTTCGTCCTTGGTCCATGACACCGGCATAGTCGGCTTCCTGGATCCATCGGAGAGGTTACTCAATGTATCATATCAGTGGTGAAGTTATGAACGGTTAACATAGTATATACACAGTATGCATAGTATGATGTATATATATATATATATATGTAATTATATGTATGTATATATTTCACGTGGAAGGTCTGTGAGTTGAAAAGGCACGCAGGTTCCAACTTGTAGTTCTCCGGAATTTCATGGATTTCCCCCAGTTTCTTCTCAAAGGTCAACGAAGAATGGCATGTCCTGGATGCTTCTGGCCAAAGCCTCTCTGAGCAAAGAGGGCAAGTCTGTATCCTGGAGTTGTGGAGCAAAAACTTGGGCTAAAACTTGGGCTGTCACTGGTCGCCATCCATACACAGATGTGCCATGTATCTGAGTGGATCACTAGCGTCACTAGTCGTGATCTGAGAGCAGCTGACATTGGTGCCTTCCGGTCGACGTTGCCGTACCATGCTGAGATGGCACCCAGCAGCTCGGCCCGGTGGATCTGACGGTCACCTTGGGGCATTTGGTAACTTGCGATCGAAAAAAACAACTCTGTCGTCATTGAAAAACCAACTTGAATGACTTTGCATCGACTTTGCATCGACTTTGTTACGTTTGTTGAGTTTCAGTTTTTAAGAAACTGATGTAACAAGCAGTTTGGATGTCATGGAGTGCGGTGAGGTCGAGGCCAAGCATATCTGCTTGATGCATTACACGGATGACCTCATCTCTAGGTACCTCAGTTGACTCTCAGATCACAACCCTGCCAACTGGTCCATTCCACGTCCAATATGTACATATATACATATATATATTATGTTATATGCATATTATATCTATATATTATATGTCCACTACATGTCCATTCTTGTTTTGCCGGATTCTACACTAATCTGGCTTATGGTATTCTGCCACTATCTTCTTGGTCTGTGGTCCTGAAAAAAATCAGTGCATCGCCCAAATTCTGCACAGCGGCTGGCTTCCCACCATTCATTGCTGTCAGCAACTGCTCCAACTCATTTACTGACAAATGCCCTGACCTGATGCAGATCGATGATCACATGCAACTCAGACATCAGTGACACCCACTAACACCTAGCAGGACCTAGCAGGACCTAGCTTTGCCAATGCTGTGTCAATGCTTTTCCAGATTTATCTCAGGCATCTCCCCTTGTGTCACCTGGAAAAGATGTCACAGGTGGGGATCAAAGGATATCAAAGGTGCCCAGTAAGCGCAGTAAGCGCAGTAAGCGCAGTAAGCGCAGTAAGCGCAGTAAGGCTGCTGACGGAAGCGTGTTTTCACGAGCTAAACTCATTTCATGTCTCAGCTGAGCATTTCCGACTCATCGAAATCGAATTCGGCAAACAGCCGAAGCAACGAGTCCTTGGCGCTCAGCGGTCTCAGCGTTCTAAAGCCTACGCTGCACTAATCAAAATAAGATCAATATACATGTATATTAAAAAATATATACATATATAAATATACATATATATGTATATATATACACATATATATCATATATCCAAATAAGGCTATTCAAGCAGATTCAAGCAGCTTCAAGGGATAATTCCCTGTTTTGATGCTTCAGTCGTCACAGAGGCCCTGACGTCCATATGTCTGTAACTATGCCACGCGCGCAGTGCATAATGAAGCCTTAGCTCAGCTTAACTGCACGCTTTTGTTTGAATCATTTTGAATCAAAGACTGTGCAGCAGTTTGAATGATATTTTGCCTGTCCATGTAGCACAGTATGACAAGATTGACAAGGTGTGGGAACATTCACAATAGGATGGAACTTGAAAATGTGATCCCGTCGATATCCGTCGATGACGCATGCTGGTCGCATGATGTTGTCAAGCAACTCACCCAGACTTATTCGACCATCTCGGTCCTGCAAACTTTGTCAACACGAGCCTTCAGCATCAAATAGTATCAGCATGCATCAGCACATGACTGCAACGTCTTCACCCTTGAAGCTGCCAGTAGAGAGGGCTTTGTCCGACTTCGGTCCTTATCTGAAAGCTTCATCATAAAGCTGTATTCCTCCTCCGTTGGATCGCGACCTGGGGGAAAGGCAAACATCTGAATCGACAAAACACAAAATTAGAATTCGGACCGGACTTTAGCAATTTTGACTCAGCTTTATCACTCGAGAATTCACCAACTTTCAAGTCAGTCGGTAATTTTTCAGCAAACGCTAAATATAGGAGATTATGGAAGACAAGATAGACAAGGTGCTCACCTTCTTGAAATTGGCAGTTTTTACGAAGCAAACTTTGCTCAAATGCCTTTCGTTGAGATTCGTTGCTGCGTCGTAATTTGAGCATCCCAACCTTGATTGAAATCTCTTAGCAAGGCGCGAAACTCTTCAACTTCCAAAGCCTCGTGACTTCTTTAACTGAATTCCACGAGGATCTGTGGTACCGGCGCACATGGAGAGACATTGTAGAGACCACTCTGAGCAGCTTCAAATCAGATCCAGCAGTTGAGCATAGTTGAGCCATGCTGAGACCAGCGACGCCGGAACGATCCCTGTCATACTCCATAAAAATATCCTGAAGAATCTGAACACCAGTCGCTCGCCATTGCCTCTCTTGGAGCGCAACATATTCAAGTTGATACTCGTTATATACTCGTTCATGCTGATAGCATCTGATAGCTGTGCTTCCCTCACGTCTCGTCCTGTAGGCGAATTTCATAGGTATTCCAGCCTTGGGGCACTTCGCAGGGAAAACTTGATCAATAGCTGCCTTGTACTGTCAGAACTTCACGTTTGAGCCACGGTGTTTTCAAGTTTGTACCTTTGTTGATCCTTCGTTTTCATCTCATTTTCATCTCATGTTCATTTCATGACTCATGGCTTTGCTCTTGGAAGTTTTCCATCTCTTTCGCTCCTCCTTCCCCAGTGTCACTAGGGTGACTGAGTCTCCATGCGGTCGCGGGCCTCTAGACGAGCCGCACCAGCATCTGCACGGCCTCCAAAGGGGAAGTCTTGAGAACTCTCTCGTGGAATGCGGACATTGAACTCGTCAAATGTTCCCGTCACCGGAGAATTCGGGGCTTTCATGTGGTGACCTCACAGGAGTAAAGATTGAAGTCGCCATGTTTTAGCGACTGCCAGACTTCAAAGTTCGAAAACGAAGGAGCTTAGATCAAAATACATCGAAATACAAAAAAACACAACAGCTCAGGAATTTCAGATTCCTATTCCATACCTTGTATTTCTGACATGTTCCGACGTCATATCTTTAGCTCACCACTGCGTGCCTGTTGGTTGCGGGTTCGCCTGTGGCCGCTGCGGCCTGACCGGTGAAATCGAGACAGAACTTGAGACACAACTTGAGAATATAATATGTTTAGGATTGGTACCACTTTGGTACCACTTTGGCACCACCATCTGTCAACTGCAGAAGCTTCAAGAACAATCGACTGTGCAACGTGTCGACTTGTGAAAGATTACATCCATTCTTGGGGTTTCGAATCTCAAATGACTCAAATGTGCTAATCCATCTGGGCCTAGTGTTGTCCGTCATGTCAGATGAATCACCTGTCTCTGGAATCTGGGTATCTGGATCTTTCCACATCCACGTGAAGACCATTCGATTAGACGCAGAAGATCTGCTTCACCGAGGAGACCCGACCCGTTAGAGAACCGAGTTTGTTTGAGTTTGTTTTCTTGGCCACACTATGCCACACTGCATCACTGCACATCACTGCACCATGCTATGCCCGATTTATCCAATATCACATAATATCACGACTGAACAAACCATCAGATCGAGTCAGATCGAGTCAGATCTGGGCCAGCCAACGTGGTCGCAGCACATTGGCTACTTCATTGGGCATGACCTCACAGCGAAGGATCTGAAGGATCTGATCCCACTGGGTGATCACCCTTAAGGCCCTTAAGGCCCTGTGAACTATCGAGTATCCCCACACTCGAGGGTCGAGGGTCAACTGTCCCTCTGCTGCGAACAATAACTCACAAGCCCAGCCAAAAAGTTGTATATTACATTATATTACAATGTACTACCATAAACATCCATAAACCACTTTTGAGTTGTAGCTGTTTGATGATTTTTTGATGCTTTTTGCAGTTTTGCAGACAAGAGACGTACTTCACGCTGCCATTCTCCAAGGCCACCTTGATGCAACCCGCTGGCATGGTGTAGCCATCGGCCACACATTCCTCCTCGAAGATCCTGTGACATCAAAATGTGCGAACATGTTTCAACATTCAGAATGAAACATCTTCGCAGATATTGAATGATATTGATGTAATTTTCAAATTATGATGCAATGATACAACATGTACATGCAGTCTAAAGGAACAAAAACACGTTTTCTGAGAGTGGCAAACACCTGGGAAGATCTGTTACGAACTTCTGCTGAGTTGCTCAACAATGCTGCCATTCACCCAGGAGCCCACTGAGCTGCTGAAGACCAGCACTGCGCTGCCCGGGCTCAAGTTGGGACCTTCCAAGGAAGAACATGGAAGAACAATAAAAACATCTGAGTCATCTGAATCATCTGAACAACAAAGATTTGTATCACATTTGCAGATGAAAACTGTGCATGGTTTCGTGAGCCAGTGAGCACAAGCCAAATGTCAGCATCTGATCCTAAAAGGTGGAGACACTGAAGACGAAAGACTGTGAGATGCTCATTGTGTTTCTTACGCGTCGATGTCAGCGCCTTGCCATGTTTCCCCGGGAGGGAAGGCACCTCTCTGCCCCGGCATGGTGAGGGACGCAATGAAATGCGATGAAATTCCATGAACAGTTCAGGACTAAATAAACTGGGCTAAACCATGGTAAATCGGTAAACTCCGGTAAACTCCAGTAAACCATTCCAAGAGAACCACTTCAAGAATCTGCAGTTGGGACAAGCTGGTACATGAAGGCAAGAGTGGCAAGAGTATGAATGCATTGAAGGCTTCGAATGCTTTGGTTGAGAGGTGAAGTGTTGGATCTTGCATCAGCGTGCAGTTGAACTTTGAACCGGCTGCGGAACTTCGCACGTAAAGGGTTGCACTGGCCCCAATCGCCCCAATGGCTTGTCTTGGTGCCTATTAAAATGGAACCTGAAGGATCGAAAATGAACTTGATCTGATCTTGATTTTGGAGATTGACCTCCACAAACCAATGATTTTTCAGCAGAAACGCTTGGTCAAACAATGCCAAAAACTCGTCTTTGAAAAACAGGAACCTATTGATATTGAGATATAGCGAGGCTTGATCAATCTTGATCATATGGCCACGAGGTCCCTCAGAGTCCCTCACCTCTGAACCAGTGGACCTACATGGACCTACGGATGTTCTGCTGCAAAGTGCTGTGAATTTCAAACTCTACCAATCCTCGGACCTTGCAGACCTCACTGACCTCACTGACCTCACATTCTCAAGTTTTCTCAAAGATTGATCCTTTTATTCTCCTTTTTTCTCCTTTGTTTTTTCTTTTTTTTTTCTCTTTTTCCCGAGAGCGTCTGAGCGCAGGGTTCTTCCAATAGTGGGGGTCTGTAAAACATCTTCTCATCTTCACATCTCATCTTCACATCTTCTCATCATCTTCACATCTTTTCATCTTCACATCCTCTCATCTTCACATTCTCTCATCTTCACATCTCATCTTCACATCCTCTCATCTTCACATCTGCTCATCTTTACATCCTCTCATCTTCACATCCTCTCATCTTCACATCTGCTCATCTTCACATCCTCTCATCTTCACATCCTCTCATCTTCACATCTGCTCATCTTCACACCTTCCCATCTTCACATCTGCTCATCTTCACACCTTCCCATCTTCACATCTTCTCATCTTCACATCTGCTCATCTTCACATCTGCTCATCTTCACACCTTCCCATCTTCACATCTGCTCATCTTCATTCTCTTCACATCTTCTCATCTTCACATCTGCTCATCTTCACATCTGCTCATCTTCACATCTGCTCATCATCTTCACATCTGCTCATCTTCACATCTTCTCATCTTCACATTCTCATCTTCACATCTGCTCATCTTCACATCTGCTCATCTTCACATCTGCTCATCTTCACATCTGCTCATCTTCACATCTTCTTATCTTCACACCTGCTCACCTTCTCTCTCACGCCTTCTTTTTATCTTTCTCTCTTAAGGCCGAGGGTGGTGCCGGCGGCGAGTCACGAAACGTAACCCTTTCGCACGAAATGAGGGTCGATCGGCAAAAACTGAGGTAAAATGCGATTTGACTTGTCCTGGAGCAACCCTTTCGCACGAAATGAGGGTCGATCGGCAAAAACTGAGGTAAAATTGCGATTTGACTTGTCCTGGAGCAACCCTTTCGCACGAAATGAGGGTCGATCGGCAAAAACTGAGGTAAAATTGCGATTTGACTTGTCCTGGAGCAACCCTTTCGCACGAAATGAGGGTCGATCGGCAAAAACTGAGGTAAAATTGCGATTTTACTTGTCCTGGAGCAACCCTTTCGCACGAAATGAGGGTCGATCGGCAAAAACTGAGGTAAAATTGCGATTTGACTTGTCCTGGAGCAACCCTTTCGCACGAAATGAAGGTCGATCGGCAAAAACTGAGGTAAAATTGCGATTTTACTTGCCCCGGAGCAACCCTTTCGCACGAAATGAGGGTCGATCGGCAAAAACTGAGGTAAAATTGCGATTTGACTTGTGCCGGAGCAACCCTTTCGCACGAAATGAGGGTCGATCGGCAAAAACTGAGGTAAAATTGCGATTTTTCGTGTGCTGGAGTAACCCTTTCGCACGAAATGAGGGTCGATCGGCAAAAACTGAGGTAAAATTGCGATTTTTCGTGTGCTGGAGTAACCCTTTCGCACGAAAAGGGGTTTGTGTGTACGAGCGTTTCTGTGTAAAGATGTTTTTCTCACTATTTTGTCTTGATACTCCTCTTCTCGACTGCCTATAACACAGCTTTCATATATCGTTTCTAATATTGCGTCTCCATACTAACAAGAGAAGACCCTGCTCCTCTACGCTCTCGGGCCATCCGTCGTCTAGTTTGTCTCCTTTTATCCTTTTGCTCAAGACCCGAAGCATCGGCTCAAGTTAGGGTCAGAATCGAGGCTAGGACGTGGATTCTTCGAGCATAGCCATGATGGCAATGCAAGCTGATGCACATGAATTAACTGCAATTGCAGCGAATTTGCAAATAAAACATCACACATCATCACATCATCACGTTCAGTCCACGGAGTAAAGACCAGCAAGAACCTGCAAATATGCTGAAAAGTGTAAAGATGTGTAAAGAGTGTAAAGCTTTAGCATCAAATGAGCAGCTAGCGGCTTCGGCTGCTTTACACTTCGATGTCGTTTCGATGTCGTTTCGATGCTGCTTTGTCCTGCGCCCTGCGACTCCTGCCTTCCTGGCAAAGTCCTCGAGATCACGTGGCGGACAGGCGCGCAAGCGCCAAAGGCCTGCGACGAGCTCGCGACGATGCGACGAGCTCGAGGCTGATGAGCCGTCTGACGAGGCACTGGGCCCCCTGGGCCCCTTGGCACTTTGTCTTTCTTGTAGATTTTCAATATCTCTTCATGCCTTTGATTTATATAGTATACGATCTTTCGACAGGTGTCACTATGTGTCACCTAACTGGGTGAGCAACTCCATGAAGTAATCTCAACTGGGACTGACATTAACATTGATAGTCATTGATAGTCATTGACAGTCGCTGGTACCATCGGTTTGGCAGTTGCTGGGCACAACGGGAGGCACTGGGAGGCACAATGGGAGGCTGGGATGCACTGGGTGTCCGGGCTAAGGCCCAGAGCTGCCGAGACACGCTCCGCATCGCAATTGAGGTGAAGGCACAAGTGACCAATGGCCTGCCACAGACTTGCCGTTTACGACAAGAAATGACTCGAGTAGCACTGGATCTGTGAAACCTCTATTGGCTCTATTGGTCACTTGTGGATTGTGACTCCAGGAGTATCCGTGGATTGATTTGTTGACTGATGTTGAATGGATCCTTGATGATCTTTGGCCCTATGTTGCGGATCTGTTTCAATGGAAATGTGTTCAAAGGCCAGTGTGGCAAAGGATACAGCTTCATCAAGAAATGCATAGTGTATCCACCAAGACTTTCATCCATCCTTTAGCACTGCTCCTCAATCTGGCGTGCCTGCAACAGTGCCATGTCAGGCTGCTTCTGGGAACCTTCAGTCCTGGGTTCTAGCCCAATTCTCAACACGCAAACGGTTGTATATCTGATTTCGGACCTGGTTTCCTTAGGCGCGCAAGTCAAAAAACAGCTTATGCCCAGTTGCAGAAACATTCTTTCATTCTTTCGAACTCCATCGAACCATCTACGCAGCCAAGGATCTCCACACTATTTAACATGGCAGCCTGGGCACTGCAGACACGTGCAGGTCTGGAGCCCAGAGTCTGGGAGCTCGTTGGGGACAACTCGAGTTTAGCCAATGAATCCAATGAAGCAGTCTATATAGAGCATTTAGGGATCATTTAAAAGCATTTAGAGTATTTAGAGCATTTGGGGATCCAAGAGTGTCTTGACACCAAATATCTACATAGGATCTAACACTGTCTAAATCTGTCTATTTTGGATATCTTCCAGTTTTGAGATCGACAGGACCAAAGAAGACCTTCTCGAAGACCAGACCGGCCCTTGCCACCGGCCTTCGCTGATAACTCCGCTGCTGTTGGCATGGCCTTGATGGCCTTGATGGCCTTGATGGATCACAGTTTGGATCATTGATAAATGATGGATCACAATTGTTTTTTCGCAAATTTGAACATTTGATTCGACCTTCGACCTCACAATGTCGCCTGGACGCTTCAGCGCATTCAGCAAGTGCGCCGGCGTCTGCTGACTTTGGTTCTTTGGTTTTGGCTGAGTCTTATCAAGTTTCAGATCTGATGTACCTGTTGATATGGGTGAGTAAGTTTGTGGATCGAGAATGCTTCTTGACAAATGGCTGTTACGACCTTGAATTGGTTGAAACAACCTTTTCCACCTTTTGCTTGAACCTTAAGCTGAAGCGGCTTGCATCTTTTGTACCAGGTCCAGCCAACTGCAACTCGGCTCAAATCTGCACTAAATATCGCAGCTTCTTTTTTGAATCGATTTCGAGCTCGAAAGAATGTGATATGTACATGGCTTGCCACATCACTAATCAGGAGATCAAAACGGTTTTCAAAAAAATATCAAGACACACAAATATCCGGAACACATACATACCAAAAGAAAAAGGGTTTCAATGATTCAGTAACAAAAAACATCAAGAAACAAACATATCAGGAAACAGAAATAGTAGAACAAAAAACAGGATACAAGAATATCAAAAGAGACAATATCAAAGAAAACAGGCTCAAACAAACTTCATCAGGAGACAATAATGACATCATAAAAGGTTGTCCACAGAAGATTATATCAAGGAACAAATAAGCGAGGAAGAAAAGATGTTGGGAACAAGAGGTACCGTCAAAAAGAGCTATCAAAAGACGACAAATCAATAAACATATAAACACATACAATCAACAGAATGGATTTCCAAGGGAAATATGACGAGAACATTTACATCATCTTGCACGAGCAAGCGGGGAACTAAACAAGCTTTTCAGCATACATCCAAAATATGAGTGCAACTTGCAAACTTGAAAGATATTTCAACACCTTAACAATTCACAACATTTCTGCTTTCTTTGTCTTCCACTGAATGTCAGTTTGCAAAGTGAAATGGCACAAGACCTCGTTTTGGTGTCTTGCTCATAGTTTTTTGATACCTAC